TCCCATGATCCTCCAAGTAGGCACCTGCCCCAAACACCAAGCCCTGAATCCCGAGCACTCTGCCCAACTCCTGCGGCACCCGTATGCGAAAGACTCAGGCTGGTTTGCGTGATCATGTAGCGCCCTGTCTTCCAGTCTGTCGGTCTCTGTAAACCCCTACCCTCTAGCGATATCTATATCTATATCCATACATGTATCTACATCTGTATATGCACGCATTATCTCTGTCTATGTAGTTGTGCAGACACTTATGTAAATTTAGCTCGCCTTCGGTCCCGAATACAGAGACCTAACCAAGCAGAAGAAGGTTTTCTCGGGGTATATTGGTTACGGTTGCTTTGGGGAGTGTGTTTAGGCACAACATTGCATTTCCTGAACTGTTTGCTTCCTATTGTACCCCAAAAGCCTAAGCCTACTTCTCATGATAAACGGCCCCCCGAAATACTGTAGGGGTTCCTTGTGGTAGTTATAGTATAATGGGCCCTAAAACCCTATCAAAATCGTTAAGGCCCCTATCTCACATGAACCGCTGATTTCTGAAGTCTTCCAGGCCAGGACAACCCCGAAGATGCCAGGATCCGTGGAGCAGAAGTTGTGGTCCACGATCAGCCGCCCTTTTCGGGGTTTAGGCTCTATAAGGGTTTTGGGGGCTCTGCAGGTTCAGGGATTAGGGCCCAGGATTTCGGGGGTTGAGGGCTTCGGATTTTGGCTGGACTTCGGATGACACATTTTACTCAGGGTGGGGTGGTTGTGGTTGACCTGAGCAGGTCTAGGTGGGTGCAGTAGTAGCAGGCTTGCTTGGATGGGCCAGGAGTGGGATTGCCTAAGAGTCAAGCGAGAGGGAGACCCACACCAACACCCCGAAACCCATATGAGTTTTCAAGGCTTCAGCGTCAGGGGTTGCAAGCTTTGAAGGTTGAGGGCTTCAGGCTTATCGGGTTTGGGATTTTGTTTCAGTTTTCAAGCCTACAAGATGTTCAGACGCCAGCCCCTCGCTGATATCTCGCCAAGGCGTAGCTAGAGAAACATGCACCCCAAGTTCTTCCGTCTTCTCCCGCCTGCAGGATGCCTACGCCCTAAGGAGCGTCCCCCGCTAGGCCTGGCACTCTGGAGCATAAACCTGTTTTTTTTGTAAGGAACTTTATTTAAGTCACCATACCTATAGCAAGGAAGCACACTAGAGCTTGCATAAAATAACGCTAGCAATCGTGTTCCCTGATACTCCATGTGCATAAGCATACCATAACCTGCCCCAAACTTAATCTGAGCATTAAGACCTCCCATGTCTTCACTCTCGAGGAGTTCTCAGAAAGGAGGCACCATGTTGCCCCGGACGAAGGCTTCATGGGAGCCAGGGCCCTTGCCGTCGTAGACGAGGCCGTTTCCGTGCACCTCACGTGGTGGCATGAGATTTGTTTGTGGCGGCCGTTACATAGGATTTGGTTTCGGACATCATCAGTCACCAGTATCCATTCCCTGAATTAGAGGGTTCAGGTTTGGGAATACCCCCAAATCATAGTACGTATCCTGAAAACGGGATTCTTCATTTGGAGTGTGGAGTGGCCATGTACGGTCTGGGACGCCAAAACCCGAGACATTATGTCGTGCCAGAAGCTATACAAGGACTAGATCGGGTTTCGGGCGTGCAGTGACCTACAAAACGGACAGCTTTTGCTGGCAAGCCGCTTCAAAGTGTTCAGACTGTCGCAGGCACTCTTGATTCATAAACCCCGAGCCACTTCCCCGAGGCCAACACCGAGTTGAAAATATCGGGGTCGACGTTGAGCGCGTCGGCGGTGATGCAAAGCCGGCAGGCCAAAAGCTGGCAGCAGAGATGAAACAGCTGAGGAGTTTCGGATTGAGGAGTCAAGTCTACGGAACAGCAGAAAACATCACATATCTGCATCTACACACAACATGCCACAAACACGACAGCAGCGACATCATCGCACCAGCTACTTAGAGGTTCTTGAAACCGCAAAAGGACAGTGTAAGAAACGGGTTCCCAGGCTTGCTGTGCACACCTGCGCTGTCGAGCACCGGGTTGGGGTCGAGATGCTTGCGCTCTTTCGGTGGTCTCTCCGCTGCGGGTCAAATGCTGCGGGCGCCGGCTGTTTGGATTCGTGATTGGACCTTTAACCTCTTAATCGTTGCAGCCTTGCTTCGTACGGGAATTGCGTGTCACGAATTGTAGACAGAGAGCTTAGAGGCTGCCGCTTCAGCGAAGCTGCACGAAGACGGCTGAAGCGCTATAGGAGCGTTTATGGTGACGGCAGAAGTTGGAACGTGTTTGGGTATATTCGGCTTTAACCACACAAGGGCGACAAACCAATAATCCAGTGCTACATAGCAACGATTGAGGCTGCTACCGAGTCCGTTCTTGGTGATCCTCTGTCAATAGGTTGGCACACAAAATCCGTTGAACATAGTCGTAAACGCGAAACCTAGCAACACTGGGACATACGGCTTTGAAGTTTGTGTGTGCACGCCACGCCTAAACCCCAATATTCCCATTCATCGGTCTCTGTGTGCACTCCCAAAATTAGTGGGTACGTCCCGCCGCCCCTGTAGGGCTTTTAACGCCCATTCTTTCTGCTGGGCGCCTTCTGCGGGAGACCGGCCGGACTCGCCCCGAAATCCTGGACAGTGTAAGGATTGGCTCTGCAATTCGAGGGGTCGGGGTTTAGGGGTTTACGAGCTTAGGGTTTAGAGGCCCAGGGTTGAGGATTCAGCGTTCAGGCTTTGGGGCATACAGCATACACATCCCGGTTTGAGGCTTATCGTGAAGGCTCCTCGAAGCTGTGAGTCTGCAGCGTGAAGGTCTCGGAAATGCAATTTCAAGTTCTGCGTGCGTGACTTCCAAAGGCTAACACCCAACTTTCGCAGGCCAAAGGGCGTCAACCCCGAAGCCTAAGTGGGTTCTCGGTAAAGAAGCCCAGTTTAAACCCCTCAAGACGAGCGCAGGTAAAAAGTCAAACTTCGTGTGTTTCCAGCGTGAGGGGCATCTTCTTTGGCGACCAAAAGCGGACCACAAGCATAGGTCTAGAATAGCCTGAAGCCCAACATTGCAAAGGCCTCTGGGATATGCCATGAAACAATCGGCAAGCCAAAATACACCACCCTATGGCAAGACTCCAAACGCCCTTACCATACTCGACCTTCAGTCAATGCCCCGAAATCTACTCAATCGCACTAGCAGTGACCACATCGTGGCAGAACTACAGTTCTCCTTGCAGCTTCTCCTGGTCAAGTGCTCAGTCGTTTATACGAAGCCCATGAATCTCGATCGCAGCTGTCTGTATCGTACCTCTACGAGTATTTTGAGTATCTTGTTGCTTCTGTCAGTCCTTCTTCATGCCACCAGTAGGACTATTCTTCTATTCTGGCACTCTTCCTCAACCCCTAAAACCTTAAACCCCAAGTGATGAAATGCAAATCCGAGACCCCACGCCCCAACCCAACACCCCAAGCCCGAAGACCGAAAGCCTCAACTACCCTCAAACCCCGAGTCCCAAACCTCAAAACTGAGCCCAAACAAGACCCTAAACAGTAGGATCCCCCAAAAAACACTTCCACCCTAGGCCGCCTCCATGATGCCCATGGGCGCCCGCGCGGCCTCGGGAGCGGGGAACCTGGCAGAATCTCGGCATCCTTTCTGGGTGTGGGGGTTCTGGATGCCATTAAGAATCATTAACATACTGATCGTTTCATGGGGACCTCGGGTGCAGTGAATCGGAGGTAGATATCGATTTTGTCTTGTTTCCTTTCTGTTAGAGGGACTTCCTTCAAGGGACCTGTTTTTGAGAAAAGCCCCAAACCGTATCATCCTAAAGGCCAGATTCCTAAACCGCCTCAACCCGCGTATAGTACATACTCGGAGTATAGAGTCCTGGAAGAAGATGGTTTTGCTCTACACCCAAACTGCGGTCACGGCCTCTAAAGCCGCAAACCGTAGAACCGTAGAACAGAGCCCTAAGTCTGTGCCCTAACCAAATGGATTAAAGCCTGCAGCAACCTTTATGTAGCCTTTATACATTCAACCTGAAACCCTAAAGGCCCTAAACCGACCCTTCACAAAGAGCCAAAACCAGCGAAAAGTCAGTGGCCACCTCTTCTCCCGCTCGCGCTCTGCGGCCGCCAGCTCTTCTGCCGGCCGAGGGGCGACTTCCCTGGGTTTAGGGCTTCTTTTGGGTTTAGGGTGTTTAGGGTCTAGAGAAAACTATGGGGTTAGGGGTTTCGGCTGGGGCCCGAAAAGGATCGTGAGAGTAGACTCGATACCTCTATATAAGACCATGAGGGAAATCAGAAAGTCTCCCGGCATGCCCCTGTAATGGAAGGCTTTAGGGTTATAGGGCCTTGAATCAATCTTGGGGGCTTTTCGGGCTTAATTTAGGGTTTTAGGGCCCGGGCGCCGTCGGCATTGCGTGTTTTGTGTCGTTTGACCTTGAGGACTGCTCTGCTCGCGACGAAGGTTTCTGATCCGTTTCCTTCTCGCATATCACAATCAGCCTCAGCGTCTATTAAGTCCACAATAGGCTGTGGGGTTCTGAGAATTCTGGGTCCTCAAAGGAAGTCCTCGAAATGAAGATCTTTGTACTTCAAGGTCTACATTAAGTTTGAAATTCAAGAAGCCCCTTCGAAATCTCACAAAACCGCAAGACTTTCACGCCAAACCTAGCAGGGGTGGGCCTTGTAGAACTCAGAACCTAAACGACCCACAAAACACCTGCAAACTCCCCGACAGCACCAAAACTCAGCCTAACATAAAACCCTCAATCGTAGGATCCTGTTCGCAATGACCCCGAAGAATGCTCACCCCGATGTGGAGCACCTCCAACTGACAGCTCACGAAATCGAAGATCCCTTGGCTCCGCACCCACCGTTCTGATCCTCCAAAATGAGGCCCTTCCTTCCATGGTGAGGGGCATACTTGCAGCGCGAGGGTTCTGAAAACAATTCCTAGAGTTTTGGCTTCGACTCTTGGTGGGGGATTCTAGGTGTACCAGAAAGAGTTCGGAGCTGAGGGTCATAGAGTGTTCGGCTCAGGCTCATGATTCCTGGAGTCATGGCTTGGAATGCTTTCCTGGAGGGTCCTGGGGTTCTAGGTCTCTGCGATTTATGCTTCAAGCGTGCCGTTCCCCAGACGTCCTGGGGCTTGGGCCTTCAATCTTTGGGGTGCTTCGGGGGTTGAGGGTTTAGGGGTTTAGGGATTAGGGGCTTGGGGTTGGGGGTTTTAGGGCGTTTGCGGGACTTTGGGGGCTAAATGGGGCTAATGCTTTTTACACAAAGTTCTAGGATTTGCCCCAAACTTTATCCCAAGCTCCCAACTCCTCAAGCACCAAGCTTCCCCGGGGTTCGGAAGGATTTCAGGTGCCAGGGCGCAGGATACAAGCACTATAATATGCTCATAGATCTAAGGTTGAACCCATGGGCCCCTAGTATGGGCCCTTAACCCTGGGACCCTTGTATGCCTACTATATACCCTATATGAACCCTTTAAGGACTCTAGACAGGCCTATGGGTCCATATTAGGAGCCCATACTTCTAACCTCGGAATAGAACCCCTTGTAGAAGTCTTAGAGAAGAGTGCGGATTCCTCAGGTTTCCAGTCGGGGCCTGGAGCAGAGCAAACAGTCGAGGGCAATACGCCCCAAGAGGAACTTAAGTGTTAAGGCTAAGTAGGTGAATCAAGGATCGTGGAGCTGCGTGAGTTTGCTGCAGGCAAGGAGCAGGCGGTCTCTCGTGCACTGCTGGATGCCCAGGAGGCGGTAGCCTTCGTAAACCTGCACATCGGGCAACGTCTACTCATGAAGTTGGGCAGAAGCCGGTATCCAGTGTCTGGCTTTTGTCGTTGAGTCGATGACTGCTGAAAGGACATGAGAAACACCGTCGCGGTGGTGTGCAAGTAGGCTCATTGCATTCATCGAGAGTAGTCACAAGAACCTTCTCCTGCAGTGTGACATCATGTAGTCCAATAGACGCCTTCCTTAATATGAAATAGAGGCCCTACTTGGAGGATCATAAGACTTAGTAAGTAAGGTTATAAGTCCCCTAATTGGGGTTATAAGTATAGTTGCCTTAGCTATAACCCTACCTACTAAGTCCCATGATCCTTTCAGTAAGTCCCAAACCCTGACTCAGACACTGTAGCTTCATCTCTAACATTTACCCCCCCTGGCCTCCAAGCGCCTAACGACATTACATATATATATATATATGTGCACATACAATTATGAATATACGTATATACACATATACATAAATAAATACATATATATATATATGCACATATACATACATACATATATATATATAATAGAATATATATATATATATGTATATATGTATATATGTATATATACATATATATCCGCGCCTTAAGGCCCATGGTTTCGAGGATGTGGTGGATCTTTTTCTCCACCTCGTCGCCCTGAGCATTGGCGGAAGATGGGGACGCTGAGAGTTTTGATGAGGATGATAATGATGGCTATGGTGATGAAATGATGAAAAAGAAGAGGATGAGGACAAGAAAGGGTGGTGATGCGGACGACGAAGAATGTCCTTTCTCCCAGTGATGTAAAGGTGGTCTCGATAATGGTGAACTGTGGTAAGACTGCGGTGATGGCGAAGAAGGAAGCTTATTGTGATGCTTGCGTTGAAGACGATCATGTTGATGACGATTGTGATGATGACCATGGCTCGACCACGCAAACTGACGTGACTGTCGGTGAGGCTGACGATTGAGAGCACACTATACTGCTGATCGTGCAAAAGTAGGTGTTCTGATGAATATGGTCTTGTCGCCACTGCCATGAGCTTGTCCGGTAGGTCGTGGTGATGGCTGTCGTGGTCGTTATCATGACCATACGGAGGCCAATGGTGGCGACGATGAGGGTGATGATGCTCAAGTGTGGAATCGAAGGTGCAGACGATGTTTAGTTGCATGCTACTGTTGTTTTTGTAGGCTGCTACTGCTGCTGCCGCTGCTGCTGCCGCTGCCACTGCTGTGGACAGGTGCAGCAATCACTCTTCAGCCACGCGGCTTAAGCTTATAGGCTGGATGAAGCAAACCATCAGGGCTTCCCTCAAAGATCATTGTAAAATTCTCGGTGCCGGGGATGGGTGTGCTAGGATAATCGGAGCTCCACCTCGTAGAAGGCGTCCACAGATAGCCCCTGTTGGGCCGTGGCCTGCGCCTGCAACGGCTCGAAGGGTCAGTTTGCCACTTTGGTTGCTTCTGGCACTATTGCCGCTACTGTTTTGAGATTGTTTGGTTGGATGATGCAGATCATGATAACAGTCGTCGTGATATGCTGCTCTTGATGATGATGCTGGTGATGATGGTGATATTGATGATGAGGTCGTTATGTTTGCCACCGTCTGATATTCGATTCGGCTTTCGATTGTCAACTGGCACAAACCTTGCTCACACCCTCGCCTCCGCCCTATCTCCGGCCCTGCTTGATGGTGGTACCTCGTTTCGCACTGCTTTTAAACAAAGGTAACCTGAAGAAGGATACCAGGGTCACCCTTGCAGTAATTACCGTAACAACCAAACAACATCTTGCAACAAAACGGAGCCGATAGCACCTGGAGCCGCGCCGGTAGCACCTGAGAGGAGCTTTAGTTGGTCCTTCGCACTGCACGCCCATGTATTGAGTTTTCGGGTCTTCGAGGGTGTTTCGGGTACACTGTTACTGATCCTTCGCCCTTAAATAACCCAAAACCCCTGAACCCGAGCGCCGTGAGGACAAGTACGAAGCCGAGTCGTTTCGAGGCCTAGGCTTCGGGTCTCGGTGATCTGAAGGCTTCAGAGCTTCCTGGTGCAAGCAGCTTGGGCCAAGGAGGGTCTGAAGAAGGGGCTTTTGGGTGAACAGGTACGCCTGCCCAAAAGCGAGGACCCTATCTTTTGCCCAAACCCTTCCCTAAGCCTAGGACTAGCACCAGACTACGGCTTCATATCTGTCGAGCTCTGAGAGAAGCTCCTCAAACTTTCAGCCCCAGACACCTCCCATAAACCAAAGGTCCAGCCTACAAACTCAACCCTAAACCCTAAACCCTAAACCCTAAACCCTAAACCCTAAACCCCTAAACCCTAAACCCCTAAACCCTAAACCCTAAACTGCAAGCTTGGAGCCGGGTTGAGGTTCAGGCTGTGACCGGAGATGCGGGCCCCGTGGTTCGAAGCTTCACAGAAACAAGTTCCACACTTCTCGTACCAAGGATATGGGAGTTTCCGAAAATGGGGGACCCTAATATAGTACCCTAAATAGTAGGATCCTTATTATAAGGACCCCAAAATAAGGTACCCCTAATTTTCAGAAACTCCCATATGGTTCCCAAAATGAGGGGTACCTTCTTTTGGGGTCCTCATAATAAGGATCCTACTGTTCAGGGTACTATATTGGGGTCCCCTATTTTCTGAAACCCCCATATGTCTGGCTGCCGAGTTTGAATTTAAGGGATGTAAGCTTCCGCCACTTCGCTGAGACATCCGCCAGGATAATCTTCTTTGCCGGCACCTGCATGGGCCAATGGGGCGTTCAAGCTGTTCTCTCCAGCGACATGCCTTAGCTTCTCGAAGGGTCCGCAAAGCACCATACGCTTTGAATTACAGTAAGGTTTGCAAAGGCCTTGGCTATTAAAGAACAACTCATAATCGCCGAGGCCCTGTCCCGAAGGCAAATAAACTCCGACAACTCGAAACTCGAAATGATCAAACACCAGCAAGGGCAAGACCGGCCAGTTGCTTCAACGCTTAGGGTATACAGGCCCGACCTTAACAATCTGAACAACTTGGAAATGCTTCGTTGCCGGCTTCGGAAGAACATTGTGGTCGCGGCCTGTCGCAGGAGGAGCCCTTGCACCACGCAGTAGGCATTCAGGGACCGCCCGTAGACCTCAGAGAACAGTAAGGCTAGCGTCCGCTCCGAGCAGTGAAGCTGACAGATGTAATCGTAACAACAACGAAACGGAACCCTAAGCAGCTGATGTTAATGTATAACAGTAATGTAGTACTACTGCGAAGACAAATGCCATTCTTCGTGATGACTGGCAAGGTTGTGATCCTCATGCTCTTCTTCTTCTTCTTCATGAAGTAACTGCTCAGGTTGGAGACACCGGTTTCGTGAGTCTTGAATAACGCAGAGGGGGGGTGTTCCAAACTTTTTGGTCCAATGGTGTAGTTAGTTTTGTATGGAGACATTGTGACAAGAAGGATCCCGCAAGTTGGTATGGCCGCCTGACTTCCCCCAAGCAGCCTTTAGAACAAAAGCACGAAGTGTATTTCTTGAGTGCAGCTGGGTCCGTTGACCTGCACTCGGTGTAGCCAGGATGCAGTTCTCAGGCTTCGGACAGGGCAAGTGGTCGGGATTTGCTGCACGGGTTAAGGCTTGATGCCTTGTAGTTTAGGGACCATTTCGAAGGCTCACAACTCCAAACTTCTTGGTGCGGGCTCACCCGAACGTGCACGTAGGTGCTCTGCGACGGTTCTGACGTGCCGTCAGCGCCCAAAGAACCGAGGTGAGCCCCGCCCCTCCGCTGGGCTCCAGGCCACAGCATAGGAGAGTGGGTTCCAGATCAATGACCTGTGCAGGGTTGGCGCCGGGCTGCGACTTTTCTGGGGAGTGATCTCCCAACATAGCTACAATATTGAAAAAGGTCCAGCATGCGCCCTTTGCATCAAATACTCTGCAGCTTTCCGTCTTGACTGAAGGACCGAGACCGCTGCACAGCTGAATGTGAAAACAGCAACAACAAGATCGGAGCAACCCCGGTGGTTGTTGTGATGTTGTGTTTGCTCCAACTCAGCAGGATAAGAACTCCAAAAGGCTGAATCTCTGAAGGCCGGTCGCACAGAATGAATCATGAAGAATGTGAGCTTTCATGGGCCTGGTGCCGTTATCTCGATTCTTCTGGTGGTGCTGCCAAGAGGAAGCCGCGGAGTCTCAAACAAAACTCGGCACCCTCAGCAAATCCAGTTGCCCTGGCCCGGAGCCAAACTTCCTGAAACCAAAAAAACCCTGAAATCCAGGGGCCCTGGCCCGGAACCAAACTTCCTGAAACCACCAAAAAACCCAAAACGACCTAAAAGCCCTAAAGAACTCAACATGCGAGGGAAACCCCTAAAACCCTGAAGAAGTCAACATGCGAGGCTGGGAGAGCTGCTTGACGAGCGTGCCGCCCTCCACAAGCCTCGGGGGGAAAGTTTCGGCTGGCGCCGGGTTCTACGGGCCTTCGGAGAGACAGAGAGGGCCCCGGGCTTCTGAAGTCATAAGGGTAATTACCCCAAGGGCTTCGGGCTTAGGGTTTAGGGTACAGGAATCTAGGGGCCCTAAGAATTACCCATCATCCACTGCCAATGACTTCAACTCACAAATGCAGCTGTCGTAGCAGCAGCAGCAAGACTCGGAGCAGAAATCCACTGTCGAATCGGCACGGTGAGAGTACTTGTCCAGAGCATCTTGCCCCTTACTCTTGATGACCAGGGCTGCTCATTTTCGTGCCCTGATATGTTCTGCCTTCTCTGGATGGTTAGAGGTTGGGGGCTCATGGTTCGTGGCCTTGGGTTTAGGGTCAAGCCCCCAGCCCATAGCCTGGAACCCTGAACCATACTCTGCCGAACGCAAGGGCCGGGCAAATCTCGTATAGAGGGGTCTGCAGCCGACATCGCGCCATTGACCCGGCGGTAGCCGTCGGTCACATGCTCCACCTTTTTGTTTGAGGGGTCTACGGTTGCTACAGCTCTAAGATTACCGGAATACTTACGGTTCAACGATGCGTGGTTGTCTTCGTTGAGTGAGCTCTAGTTGAGGACTGCTCATACGAATGCCGCGGAGAAGAAGCTGGACCTTGGCGACCTGTGGCTCATTCTCTCTGAAAGGTCACGGCTCTGCGATGAGAAAAACCTATGGACTGAGCCACGGATCATCCTTCGGATGCTTATGCCAAAGCCTTATCTATCCTCTGAACATTCAACGCAACCACCATCGGCTGCTGAAAGCCCAGCCGAACTTGATATTTCGGTGACTGCTCCGTTCCAAACAGGGTGCGGGGTCTGGGTGTATATTAGGATTCATGGCATCACAACTAAAACTAAATCCCTCTCCCAAATTCAGACCCTTCGAAGGTTTACGATGGCCTCCCCCTGCACATAGGTCATGATGTTTGCAACACCGCGAACCGCACTTTACAACACCAGCAAGAATTCCCACACTTTGGTTGGCAAGACATATACTTATACATAAGTGTGTACATATATGTATGTATGTATGTATGTCTGTCTGTCTGTCTGTCTGTCTGTATGTATGTATGTATGTATGTATATCGCGTCGTTCTGTATGTGGGGTTTCCATCCTGCCGTACTGTATCTGCCAGCCACGCACGCCCAAGGGTTCGGCTCCCATAGACTGGATCTTCAGAGCGTGCAGCGAGTCGTCTTGCAAGCCTTCCGGACTTGAAGCTTCAAAGCATCTAGTGCTCCAGGATGTGGGGTTTGAAGATTGCCATGGTGGGCAAATTTGAAAGATGACAACTACACCGCCTTCCAGCATTTCCGATGAGGAATAGAAATTCACACGCTAACAACACGAACGACTAGAATGCTACGAGTTTCCCGTGCCTGTGGCCACCACCAGGTAGTCGTAGGGCAGCATGGATCCTGAGGCTAGATGCCGGCACGACATGCTGGGTTTCTGGTTACAGGAGATTCTAGGGATGGACCTGGTTAATGACAACTTTTGAAGACTCTCTTGCCTCTTACTCCCTTTATGCAGCGATACAGACGTAGGCGCGCATGCGTACTTCATATATATATATATATGCACATACATATGGTTTTGGCGCAAGAACCTTCAACTGTATGATATGAAATTTTCCCTCGGACGTTGATATCATCATCATCATCTACGACGACTACTACTACTACTACTACTGCTGCTGCTCCTGCTGCTGCTGTCGCTGCTGCTGATGCTGCTGCTGCTGCAACTGCTACTGCTACCAGTGCTACTACTATACTCCTATGCTCCTTCACTACTATACTCCTACACCCCTATACAACTTTGGCTCACAACTGTGCACAGCAGCTACGGTGCCTGGTGCATGTTCATGAGTGTACAGAAATCTGTAAAAACGGTCGCAGGCTCGGTGCCTGTCCCCTACCTCGGCATATAACTAACCATTACGCAATATTACACAAAAAGGATGACAATGCTATACCTTCACACAGACACGCATGCAGGCATTTGTGCAGAGTTGCAACCATCTTCTGGTCGATGTACTTGGAAGCAAGCAAACCATGCACGCAGAGGGCTGGCTCCTTTGTAAAGTGGAGACAATCCGCTTGGTGCACATTTTCCGCACAGCGGCTGAACGCTTTATGGTGCACTCCAGCACGTTTGCAATCTCCTCTGGGAGCCAACTACTATGTCGAAGTGCGGCCTTGTCGACACGGACTTCGTTACTCAGCTTGCTACACCAGGCTGGCCAATGAGTTCCGCCCATAGCGACTTACATACAGCCCGCGAAGGGCTTTTCGATGCTATGTGGCGCAGTTGTATGCACGGTGATCTAGCGACAGCGAACTGGCGGCAGTTCTTGTAGCTTCATGGGACTCGTGTCGCTTTAAGACGCAGACTTAGGGTGTGATGCCAACGCAATTTATTGAAAAGCCAGGCAGCACGATCCGAATCACCGGCGCGCCTGCGGTTCATGTCTTCCAGATACTTCGCCGTCGCAGCAACTAGAGATGAGATGAACTCAAGCCTTGAAAGGGAAAGGCTCAGATGTATCCAAGCGCTGTGCTTTCCTGCCGGCTTCGACTTCGCCTTGGGGCCTTGGACAATAGCGCGCTCCGCATCGACCGGATTGAACTGACTGAACTTGCTCATGACCCTCCGGCTGCGGTCTTCTTGCGCCGTGTAGCGTGCCTGGCTACAGCCGTTTTGCCACTGCTGAAGTCACGTTTTGGGGTCGGCTACATCCCATCCACGCTACCTGTGCCCTTATCGATGCTCGTCCACATACCCTAAGCCAGCTGCACACTGGGTAGATGCACCAGGTCCAACACTAAGCATCGAAGGTTCGAAGATTCGGCAGTAGCGGTTGTAGCTGGTCAGAGGAGTTTGATGCCGCGCGCTGAACTTGTTGCAAACCTCTAACAGGCAGAGCCTCGCTGAGAGTCAGAACTCGCCTGAGAAAATACTGGTCGTTAAGCGGAGCTTGTTTCCTCTGTTGCCTTGAGGAACGATAAGACTCCTGCCCGATGACCGCCATGCAACAATTGCGTCCAATGACAAGACACTAAATTCATTGGAGGCGCAGAACGCTTTAATCATTTCAGCTCTGATCTTCTGCACTGCCGAAGATGTACACACATCCTCGATGATAGGCCACCGGTGTCTGTCGTCGGTCGGCAGAAGTGACGCTAACTTTAGGGAGTTCAGGCAGTTCACAGACTCCCTAATCTCCACTGTTGGGGGTTTTAGGGATTTCAAGGGGCTCCGGGGACCTAAAACTCTCGCGTTTAGGAAGTTTCGGGGGTTTGTCGGGTTCCGCCTGAAAGGGGCTAGGGACGTTTAGGATTGCATGGAGGTGAGAGAGATGAATGATTCGTCCCCCAAAGTTCCAAAGTCCCTAAACTCCTGGAAACCCCTGAAACGACCTAAATCACGCCAGCTCCAAGGCTTGTTAGGGAGATTCCTCGTACATACGCATACATATACACAGATATGTGTATGTATATATACACATACCTGTAGCTGTTTATTTGACTATTTGTAAATCTGTATTTATCTTGTACTCGTTTGTTTAGTTTGTATACCTATTTCTCAAAATAAGTATAAGTTACAAGTTCTTTATCTCCTGTTTCCTGAAGCTTCGTTTGTATACTTCCACTATGTAAGAATAAGAACATGGCTGGAGAGTTCGGCTATGATTCGCTTGTCTTGCCATGGCTCCATCGTGGAGGATGCAGCATTTCTGCTGGCGGTCGATCTGGACCATCCGGCTGTCCAAGATACGCACCCTGCAGTTCAGCAGAGCATTTCAATCGCCTTCACCCTGAAACTGGGGGTTTCAACATTGGGGAAGTGTAGAGGCAATCCTGGAATTAGTTCTGAGAAGTGCCGATGGAGCCCCGGGCTTCAATACGACTACCACCCCCCTATGAGGAGTCCTCGCCTTGCCTCCGGGCAAAGAAGAGGTACGTCAAGGGCGGAGCTTCAAGCCAGGTTTCCACAAGCTGTTGAACCAACAGGATTCTTTTCCAAGGATCTAACACGTTTGAAAGAGAGCTGCGCATGTCTAAGTCGGCATTGGGAGGACTTTTGAATTCCACGTTGGCATTGACGCTTGAAGGCAAAGAGCCTTGCCCTGCAAAAGACCTGCCTGTTGCTGTCTCAGGTTTTGGTGAAGTCTCAAGCCTATAAACCATGGCACCAGATCCCGAACCGGTTGCATCAGCATTTGCAAGCCCTCCGAGAACCCCTGACCCGCCCCACCCCTTGCTGCCTGAGCTCCAGCATAATGCGCCGCAGCTCTTGGTGCGAGTACGCCGCCGTGCCTGGCTCAGGGTTGAGGGATTCCGGGATCGAGCCGCATGTCCCCGATCTCCCAGTTCAGCAGGCCGGAGTTTTGGGCTTGCGCCACAAGAACCTGAACACTTTGATCAGGATTTCTTCAGGCCCAGGAAGCCTTTGAGAAGTGCATGATCTTTCTCCTGCATGGGGTCTGGGCTCTAAAGTACCTGGCCTCACATGGAACCTGCGACGCTTTGGGTTTAGAATGCTGACACCTGGGCCGTAGTGCTTCCAGGAATCATGGGAATAAAGTTTAGTACCATGTCTACTGGAACCAGTTTTATGTTTCTTGGCCTCTGTTTTGTCCACCAGAAGTTCAGAGACAAGAGCCTGCCACCAAAGGCAGATGATGAGCGTGGTGATACTCCAAGCCACCAGGAGCCTCGAGATAGGTCGGGTTCATGGTTGAGGTTTGGGGCTTCCGATGTAAGGCTTCGGGCTCTTAGCGATGCTTCATCATACCCAGAGATCGCAAACTAGAACTCGTTGTTTCCTAAGGCGACGAAGAACATCAGAGTTGGTCTTATATGGTGGGGAGGCCCTACTGTCGGGACACTTGTGTGGTTCAGAAGCCATCTAGGCCTAGGGATGACAGGATTTCTGGCTTTGTTGGAAACAGCGCATAGGGTCAAAAAGGTAGTAGTGCCCTTGCACGAAGAGGATCACTCTGTGGGATGTGTCCTGGGAAAGTTCTGCAGAACTCGAAACCCGAGTGCCGGAATCGAGATGTGTGTGTGTGTGTGTCTAGCGATCGGGACAATGCTGAGCTAAAGATCAGCGGCGGCACTGGACGACGACGATCACGGCTGCCGGGCTTGATGATGACGAGGATGATGAAAGCATTTAGTTCTTTTCCAGTTTGCACAGGAATCCCAATAATTCATATCATGTGAGTGACATGAGCTTCCAGTACTCCCAACATGTGCCAATTTGCAATGTCAACCGCAATGGCAAGTGACTGTTCCAGCGGCCTTGCTCCTTGCACTACTGTCGCTCTCACTAGCAGGGAGCCCTTCTCCTATTGCTATACCGTCTGCATGTACTCCTGCTGCTATTCTTGCTATGCCACAGGAAGAACTCAACTTCGCAGATGCAGCCATCACCAAGACAGGCTACTGCACCCACAGCCCCCAGGTGCCCGACAAGGAGTGTCAAGGAGTTGAAGAGGAGGTGAGGGATGCTCAGCAAGCTCTCCAAGAAGGACCTTCGACTGAAAGCTCCTCAGCCCTGAATCCAAAGCCCAGGATACGACTATCCTTGACAGGAGCCCTTTCATACCCTGAGAGAAGGGCGAAGGGATCTTGTGGGCCGCTTTTGGCTGCTTATTGGCTTAGGTGTAGGTGCCGCACCCCGGGTGTTCGCATATGTCAGTTGTTGATTTCCCTTTCATCTACTTCTTTCTGTTTTCGGTGAGAGCCGACATTCAGGGACTCGGGAAGGGAGCGAAAGGGCCTGGCAGGGCTTACATGAAGCTCCACCGCCAGCTCGGGGCTGGAGGATAGCGGATAGCTGTGGCAGTCCAAGCTTCAGATGTTCAACACCGAAGGTGTGCACAAGGCGATGGGCCCAAAAAACAAGAATTGAACCGAAGCTGAATCTCCGAACTCCGAAAGATGTCCTCGTTGGTAGAACTCGGCAATGGGAGTTTTAAGAGCTAACCACGAGCCCTCCAGGGCCCTCGCAAGCCGCAGTCGCTCGCGCCCACCACAACGATGCGAGCATTCACTGGGATTTTCGTTTCACTGAGCCTCGCGAAAAGACGAGCGTGTGACACGCAGCTTCCCATGGTATCATTCTCCAAAACCGCCGATAGACAACTTGCAGAACGACGGGCCATGTGACACCACCATGTATCATTCGGGTCTTGCCGGGGTGCAGGTGCTCCTTCAGCACAGGTGGTGATGAGCATTACAGCACGCAACCTTCCGCAAAAGAGCCCCAAAATAGATCAATCCACCCTTTCCAAACCCTACGCCTTGAGCTTTGAAGCCAAGCTCGATACTGAAGGGACCAGGCTCTAAGCTGTGGCTTTTCTACGAAAACGGAAAGGAACCCTAAACCCCGCCCACCCCCCTCTCGGCCAAGCTTCATCTCAGAGTGGCTTCGATAAGGTATATAGGCCTTCTATACGGCCCCTAGAACGGAAGCCATATAGAAGCCCTATATACCCTAAACTCCCCACCTGAAAATGTCCTAGACAGAAACCCCATGCCCGTCGGCTCTGTAGTCGAAATCCGAAGACACCGCTTGGCGTCCGGCAGCTTCTTCGCGACGATGGAGAGAGCCTGCGCTAAGGGCTTGGGGCCATGAGGCTCACGGTGAAGACATTCGAGCCGAAGCTCGATCTCATGCGTTGCTGTTCAGTTCAAGGCTTCGGGTTTAGACAGACAAGGGCTATCAGGACCTAGATCCCTGGCTCGAGGCTGGACAAGTTGACATCAGCCAGGTGCGAATGTCAAACTCCATCCACAGTACCTCCTACTCGGCCAAACCTGGAACCCTCGACCCTAACCCGAAATCCTGAGCCAAAATCCTAAGCCTCCTAAGCCCTAAAGCTAGTTCATGGTTGGGGTAGTATTAAAAATACAAATTTATATTCCTTATTGGGTTTAAGTACCCTTAAACATGTAAAATGTTACCCAACTATGACAAAGAAAGGCCCTGAAACTCAGAGTGTCGACTGAGCCCGCCTAAAAAAGGGCACCGAGCCCCCCGGGCCTTTGTCTGCTCCGAGTCCCTGAGCAACTCCTGCCGCTCCTTTTCAAGGATGTCTTCCTGGCAGTTCAGGGGTTTAGGGGTTTAGGGTTTCGGGTTTAGGGTTTAGGGATTAGGGTCTAGGGAGTTGGGAGGTGGTTTCTTGGATGGTACAGCGTGACGCCATACTTTGCTGCACTTCTTCAAGCTAGACTGAATCGGTGATGTATGCCAGTGTTGATGAGAAGTTTACTGCACATACTGCGCATGCGCGTTCATGTACATGTGCTTGTGCATACACATACACACACACACACAACGTCTTACACACCCGGATGCTACCACAGGTGCATTCCCATGCTGATGATGACAATTACTGGTTCGTTGTAAACACTACTGCCTGTCTGACTTTTGCAATGCCACTCTGCTACTGCTCGCCTCAGAAGACCCTAAAGACCCTACTTAGGGCATATCCCCTTCCGCGAGTACCGTAAGTGCGTGCTTCCATACCTATGCATTGTGCGTGTGTGCGCGCATAGCAAGTCTTACCCAGTGGATTGCGCTCTAAGGCTATGTGCTTTTGAAGATGGACCTGCACCACCCGTCGCTTTTCAGATCCACAGCAACCATGAAGTGCCAACACCTCGGTGGGAAGCTCTTCCTCGATGTTGCAGAAAGAAGCAACCTGCCAGAAGAGAGATCAGGACGGTGAATCAGTGCTACTGCCAATGTGACTCTGCCCCAATCCGCATTGCAATTGCTCCAGATAGAGAGGCAGAATACCGCTCCTGCTTGCTGCAACAACTGCTCACGGCATTACCACTGTGTTCTGCCTTACCACTAATGGTTTACTAAGGAAGCATGTCGTCAATTCGCATGTTGCTGGAGGCGCCTGCCTCTCACCGAGAGCATGATATTCTGATCGTGATGGCGTGCGAACGGAATGCTGCTGCTGATAGCAGTGTGGCAGCGCGGGGCCTTCGGCGGCTCACGCAGAATCTTCTTCAGCTGCGGAGGCCTTGGTTCAACATGATGGCATGGTAGTAGTAGCAAGAGCAGTAGTAGTAGTAGTAGTAGTAGTAGTAGTAGTCGTAGTCGTAGTAGTCGTAGTCGTAGTCGTAGTCGTAGTCGTAGTCGTAGTAGTAGTAGTAGTAGTAGTAGTAGATTAGGAAGAGCAGTAGGAATAGGAGGAGGACGATTAGTAGTTGTCGTGGTGGTGGTCGTCGTAGTAGTAGAGTAGGAGTAAGAGTAGGTAGACACAAGACTAATAGTCGGGGGCAGGAGGAAGAACCGTAGCCGCAGCAGCAGCAGCAGCAGCAGAAGCAGCATCGGGACTTGCAGTGGACGTCGTCGACCCAGTAGTATCAGGGAGAAAAACTCATTGGTCAGAGTAATTGCAAGAAGGAGCTGTAGCAGCCGTGTGAATAAGAAGACTAATACATGCCGTCACTGCTAGCTATGAGTCGTTCTCATTCAAAATTCCGGAATGAGGTACCCTAATCAGAAGACAGGCCTCTCTGTCGAATCGACGAAAGCTAGCTAAGGCTTGAACCGGCGAGGTGCAACCTGCAGCAGCTCCCTGCGCAAAAGCTTGAGATTTCTATCTCGTTTTGCGAGCATTATACAGATCTTATACAGTCACAGAGAGAAGCATCTGTACCCTGCTTTTGTTTCTGGCATTCTCGAATTTTAGGCAAGGCTTCGGTGCCCTGTGCGGTATGAAGTGCAACACTCGTGAAATAGGGGCCTGAATATTTTACGTCTGCTGGCCTCTATTCTTTTCGACCTCAGAGTGGGGTGAAGGGCTTTGAGTTTCGGCTATAGATCTTCGGTGCCGGCTCGGCGGGCTTCTTCCTTGGTCTTGAGAAGGATTCCACGGCTCCAAAAAATAATGCTCAGGGAGTTCTTGCTTCGTCTGTAGGGTTTTAGGGCGCAGGGTTTCTTGCCGAAATCTTGCTCTTTCCCTGGTGTCGCGACTTGGAAGCCTTTTGGCTTCGGGCGCACCCGTAACACCTCTGTTTGCATAGAGACCACCAGCCTGATTTGTCTTCCCCATGGGGGTTTCGCATAGGGGCTGCAATGAACGCCGTGCACTAGCTACGCAACCTGTTGTGGTGGACAGGTACACCCTACAACCGCAAAGGGTGTGGTTATGGAAAGGGAAGGAAGTAGCCTTTGGAAAAGGCTTGGACCGTTCTGGGAAGTCTGGGAGGTACTAGGGGACTCATTAAGTAACCATGCAAACTGAACGGGCATCCTGAACCTGTAACCTGTGTTCCTGACGTGGCATGTGCCTGTAGATCGACGAGACGGAGGACGTCAGCTCTGTCTCCAACTGGGCGAAGCATGTCAGACGTTGGCTCTTGCTGAATTTGGACCTTTGAGGCTGGAAATGCCTGAATTCCAACGCATCGTGCAACCTTCAAAACCACCTCTTCTTTAGAGCAAGCTCATTCTCGCGGTGGGCCCCCTGCGTCCCCAGCATTTGCAAGCCACTAAACCCCAAACCCTCAGCTTGAAAGACAGGGCCCTTCTTTGGCAGTTCAGCTTCCGGCCACTTCAGAGTTGCCTTTTGGGTTGGAGCACGGCCTTTTGACGATTCTTGTAGCAAAGTGACTAGCAAGCATAGAGTAACAGTAACACTGTTATTGACGACAGCAATACCCAGACAACTGCACGAGTATCAATTTGGCAACTGAATTCCACGGTGCCCTAAACACCTAACTCAGCGTGATACAGACATAGGATTTTGCCTCGGGGCTCGAGGGTCGCACACAGAATGCCGGACTCCTTCTCCGAAAGCTTTCTGCTACACGTTGATGCAGAAAAGATATTCTAGCGGCCTTAATTAGTAACTCGAACTGGGCTCTTGGGTAGCTATGCTCTAGTATCAGTATGATAATGCGCCCTGTGGAGCAATATTGGTAATTATTGAAGCCTCCATTGCTATAAGTATCAGCAACCCTCATGTTCATTCCACTGCATTGAATATTCGGGTGTCGGTGCTTTGTGCCACAAGGCAGGCTCGGCTCTGGACGAAAAGGGCTGTCTTGCCGCAGATCCGCAGCACGCCCTGTCACACGCAGGAGAAAAAGAACGGCTCTGAAATCGAAACTCCTGAACCAAGCTCGGACCTGTCAGGAACTTTGGGACACCGTGTAAGCTTGGCCTGTAATAGCCGCCGGGTGTAGTTCTGAAACAGCGGGTTCCTCAGAGTGTACGCATTCTGGGAGTCTTGTGGGATTCTGTGAGCTTGGCTTTCAGGTGGGGCCCTCGGAGTTACAGCTCATAGGTTGCATTCCATGCTTTCTCGGCATGGGAAAGGAAGAACCCCCCCAAATTCTGCTCAAGCCCAAATACAGTCAGTACTATCATGGCCTTATAGACCCTATCTACACCACAGAACCCCATTCTGAGTATGAAGGCTCCCCATAGCAAGTTGCATGGAGTATCTTGTGTAATCATAGGAACTTGAGAAGGTCCAGGGAAGCTGATTTCTGCAGAATGCAGCCTCTGATGGAATAACCTCCTGTCTTTAAATGGCCTGAATGTTGAGCTCTCGGTTTGAAAGCCCTCGCATAAATTTTCAACACCTGAGCTGCAAAGGTTGCAAGGTGCTGTCTGGCAACTGCCGTGCATGGCCTTCGGTTCCGACTGCACTAGCTTGCTAAATCTTCAAATTTCAAGTGCTGCTTTGCACGTTCCTGCGAAGACGCATATGTTGCCAAAACCACGTGCAGAAACTGGGGCTTCTCTCAACTCGATCTGCATCAACATCCCAAGCTAAACATCCCAAACATCAGGCTTGCTGAATTTCGGGATGACCGCATGTCTGCATCACATGAGTGGGGCATGTTATGTGTAAAGAGCGCTCGCAAAAGCCTCTTCCCTTCGCCCTAGCCTTCAGGCAGCCAGATTCAATACCCCCCCCAATTTCAGGCTTGAGAAAGTATGGGTGTATTCGTCTCTGCGAAACCACAGCCGAGGGACAATACCCAGTGAAGCAAGCGCACATGGCCCTGATCAGAACAGGCTTCGGAGCCCTTCGAAGCTTGTGTTCTTCTGGAGTTCTTCCCCCAAACAGAGAAGGAAAACTGCAGGGGTTCTTACGTTCGGAGTACAGGGATTAAATTGCAATCGCGGACCACACCAAACTCATTGTAAACTCCACTACGCTGAGGCTCCCGCCATAGTGTCGCATGTGTCGCCGTCGCCATGCGCCAGCAGGGCCGAACGATTCGCTCCCGCTGTTCTAAGGGTTTTCGGAGCTTTAGATTGGACACCGTGCTCCAGCCGCAGTCCCGTGCGTTGTGCATCCCGACATCGTGCTCCTGCCGCCAGCCCTGGGCAGTGTGGTGTGCACTTTGGACTCGTGGGCTGGTCTTGGGAGCCTCAGGTCTTGGCTCCTGGAGCTTGGACTGCCAGGTGCCTTTTTGAAGCATCCAGACTCAAGCAGGCAGGTGTCCAAAGGGCCGAGAAGAGCGTCAAGATGAATCTCTTCTCTTTGACCGGGATGTTCATGATTGTTCTGGCTGGCATGGTTACAATGTAATCCATCATCTAAGAGCAAAGCAGTAACAGGACTACCGCCACTATGTAACAGGACTACCGTCACCATGTATCGTCACCATTATAGTCTCTAGCAATGAAGCTTGTTCTTAGTCTCGCCAGGACGTTGTGAGGTCATGTGGGGTTTGTGCTAGATTCTAGATCAACGCTCCATGAATGAGTCCTGATGACAGCATACTCGTCCCTGGATCCCAGATCATGTGGGTCGTTCTCCAAGGTCGCGTCCTGTGTCAGATTACCAAAGGAGCAGGTCAGTCCCTAGTCTTATGCTACCCCCTGTTAGGCCCTAGATAGGTTTACTCGAATATACCCACCCCAAACCGTCACCCCAAACCGTAGTCGAATCACGAAGGCCCCTCTAAAGTCTCCTAAACCAAAAAAAGAGGCCCGGGAGTCGACTCCGCTCAGTGCCTTGTTCATGTTGCCGCTCTCATGGTGTTCGACCAGCAGGTAGTCGTCCAAGTGGTAACAACATCTCAACCTCGACTCAGGCGAATCTGAATCCCAAAACCTGAACCAACCTGTGCAGCGTCTACTTCCACAAGCCAGCATTGGGGGATGGGAATGACCCGCCTACCTAAAGCAGAGGCCATAAAGTTGGAACATCATGATCCGGATGCTCTTAAACAAAGTATAACACATGTTCCAAAGTTCTGGACCTCTCTGTACTTCAGTCAGGGGCAAGTGAAGCAAGTGAGGCAATATGAATTCTGTTGAGGTCTTCCGGACGATCAGTGTGGGCAAGTAGGGCACACAAAATTTGCGGATGCACCTGGCGCCAGTCACCCTGACTCCCGGCATCTCAAAGCGCAGGGCACAAAACGGGCTCGCCGTGGAAGCCTGAGCGTCCTTTCGATGGTCTCAAAGCAAACGTACAGCCAATGAGCTTTTTATCACTTGAGCCCAGAACCAAACCCGGCGAGTCTCATGCTTCGAAGCTGAAGCTCTCACCGCTAAACCTCAGACTCTGAAATCTGCTGCCCTTGTCCCAGCACCCGAACTCACCTACAACTTAAGACGACTGTTACAAGTTAGTAATTAAGGCTCCCATCGTATCTTATTTGGGCCTCTGTTTCCTATGCCTCAGCACCATGCCGACTCACCACATCTGGCGTGGGCATCTGAAGCCTCGGTGGGTTTAAACTGGAAAAAGAGGCATTTCGTACAGAAGCCTTTATGAGTAGATTAGGGCTCAGGGTTTAGGGTTTTGGGGTTTTAGCGTTTAGGGGTTTAGGGTTTTAGGGTTTAGGGTTTAGGGTTTTAGCATTTGGCTTTTGGGGCATGTTCTGAGGGTAGAGTTATATCAAACCAAAGTGCTTGACATGGGCCCACAGATGGTTTGGGTCCTCGAGCTTCGGGCTCAGAGGCTCTCTCGAATTGAGAGTTTGCAGGCTTGCTAAGGTCCGAAGACCGAGCTTGATGCCAACAGGTTTAGGGCCTTTTAGAGCTTTGGGGCAAACTCCTGTGCCTGAGACCCATGAAAGCGGGAAGTTCTAACAGTGGGAACGCAAAGCATGCATGCTAGACATCTGAAACGGCCTTTTCAGTTGGAGTTCGTTTTCATGCCCCTAAACTCCTAAACTTCAAACCCTCACAGTCCTAAACCCTCAAGATTAAACCCTAAGCCCTGAACGTCAAACACCCAAACCCGACATTGTGCTCGACCGTCGCAAAGCAGAGCTGAACCATGGCTCCGCCACGACCCCACTGCAACTTTAAAGAACGAACAGCGCAGACTGTTGTGGCCGTACTAACTTTTATATGGTTGCACAAATAACTATGCTATGTCCTTATGGGGAACTCGAAACGGAAGGCCCATGATGTAGGGAGCCGTAGTAGTCAGAACAGGGTTTTGGGGTAGGGTGCAATATGCTCTAACTCCATTAGGGGCCATAAGGCAATGATGGTACCAATCATTTTGGCGTTTAGGCTTCCTATGCCCCTCTTCCCTTTCGGAACAAAGGGTTTCGCGCTTCGGACAAGTGGCTCTTTCATGCAAAAGCCACAGAGGTGTTTAAAAACATGATCTACATTGCATCGCTTAAGAAGTGTGTGAGTGTGTGTGTGTGTGTGTCTGTGGCTGAGGGGTTTGAGGTCTGCGGTTCGTGATTCAGGTGGCTGCTGCCGCAGGTGGACCCTAGACCCTAAACCCTAAACCTTTAAACCCTAAAACCCTAAACCCTAAACCCCTAAACCCGAAAGCCCGGGTTAAAACCCAGGTAAGCTGTCGGCCTGTTTGATGTTGGATCCTCCTCTCAGAGTCTACCCATAGGCCCCATAGTAGTTC